TATGTTACTTTCTGTCAGAAAAAGCTAAATGACGTTTGAAAAGTCAGCTGCTATCTTAAGGTACTAGGAAACTATAAAAAGTTGACAGAAAGTATTAAAAATGGTCGCAGCAAGTGAGGCATTTTAGGAAGGAAGCCTTTATACGTCTCTCATCGACAGCTCTATGTCGAACAGAATGTATTTGGTTCTTTGATTAATATATTGTTCCAGTCAGTTTACTCTTGTCTCTTTTTCCTACGTATAAAGATTTTTTTTACTACTTATGATCCACACAAATAGAATAGTACAAGGAAAAAAAAACGAATTGTTGAAAACTGAGATTAAGTGCAGGGGATCGAGTTTGGTTTTTTTCTTCAATAAATATATTCATTTATTGACAACAATAATATCGACGACACTCTATCGTAGTTTTTTTCTCTCTCTCGATTTTTGCCGGTACCATTTTTATGCCTATCCTTTTCCTTTCTCGTATAGGCATATTTAATCGGTATGAAAATAGTGGAGCCTATAATTGATCATAAAACATATAAATATAATGACGCATAATAAAATCTGAAAAAACAGCGGAAGTGAATAAACATTCATGGTTTTATAGTAGTATGATAAACTCTTTTGTGTTAGTATTTTGATTAATAAGATAGATTGAATACAATATGCAACATTGGAAGAAAGTGGCTACCGTTTTCTCCACTATTTGGGTTGATAAACAATTGTTCAAATTAGCTAAGAACACTAAAACAAAATTATGTCAAAAGTCGTTTCCTGTAAATATGCAAAATTTTATTCTTGTCTGGCTTGATAATAATATTGACGAAGTTAACAATGCTGATTGCTGCAATACAATTAAACAATTACGACAAGTTGTTAATATTATAAACACATTTACTGATGCTGATAATTGCATTGATTTTATCACTTCTATTGAAGAAGAAAATATTTTTATGATTATATCGGGAGCTATTGGTGAACACATTGTGCCTAAAATACATAACACAGATCAAATTCATTCAATATATGTTTTTTGTCAAAACGAATCAAAACATAAACAATGGGCTCAAAAATGGTCAAAAGTAAGAGGTGTATTCACAGAAATTCCACCTATATGTGAAGAATTGAAACAAGCTGTACAAGAATGTGATCAAAATTCTATTTCGATTGGTTTCGTTTCAACAAATGATGAATTATCAAAACAAAGTTCAGATCAAATGAACCAATCTTTCATGTATACACAAATATTAAAAGAAATTTTATTGACAATTGAATTTGATCATCAATCCCTGAAAGATTTTATTGTTTATTGTCGTGAGAAATTTGCTAATAATTCAATTGAATTAGAAAATATCAAGAAATTAGAACGAGAATATTATCAACATGAGCCTATATGGTGGTATACATACGAGTGTTTTCTATATTCAATGCTTAATCGAGCTTTACGTACAATGGAATTTGATATTATTATCAAAATGGGTTTCTTCATTCGAGATCTTCATAAAGACATTGTAAAATTACATTGCGAGCAATATAATGGCCGTCATAAACCAGATTCATTTACCGTTTATCGTGGTCAAGGTTTAACTACAACAGATTTTAATCAATTAATGAAAACAAAAGGTGGATTATTGTCTTTTAATACTTTTTTATCCACCAGCAAAAATCAACATGTTTCACTTAATTTTGCTCGTCGATCTTTTTTAAATTGTGATTTAATAGGTGTTCTATTCGTAATGACCATTGATCCTAGTTTATCATCAACTCCATTTGCATCCATTAAAAATGTTAGTTATTATCAAACTGAACGCGAAATACTCTTTTCAATGCATAGTGTTTTTCGTGTTGGTCATATCAAACAAATAGAACATGATAATGATCGTCTCTGGCAAGTAGATTTAAAGCTTACTAGTGATGATGATCCTCAACGTCGTTCTCTTACCGAACGAATACGAAATGATACTTTATGGTTGACAGGATGGCATCGTTTAGGTCGATTTTTAATTATGATTGGGCATTTTATAAAAGTCGAAGATCTATACAAAATATTATTTGAACAGTCTGATAATGAAGCTGAAAAAGCACATATTTTGCATCATCTTGGAGTGATTAAAGATGGTCAAGGAGATTATGAAATGGCAATTTATTTTTATGAAAAATCACTTGAAATCAATAGAGAAATTCTTTCACCAGATCATCATTTCTTAGCTAGTTCGTACGATGGTATTGGCTTGGTATATACGAAAAAACACGATTATTTCAAAGCCCTTGCATCACTTGAAAAAGCATTGGAAATTTTTCAAAAAAGCTTATCACCAAATAATTATCGTATAGCTATTTCATATGGTAATATTGGTAAAGTATATGATGGCATGGGTGAATATTCAAAAGCACTTTCATATCATGAAACAGCTCTGGAAATGTTCAGAAAAACTCTTCCTGAAACTCATCCTAATATGGCTACTTCTTATTGTGATATCGGAAATGTATATGACAAGATGGGCGAATTAGTTGAAGCACTTAAATCTTATGAAAAAGCGTTTGAAATTCGTCAAAATAATCTACCTCCAGAACATCCTTTGTTAGCCGATTCCTACAATCGTATTGGTGAATTATATGTAAAAATGCATCGATATTCTAAAGGACTTCTATTTATTGAACATGCTATTGAACTTGGAGAACGTTCATTACCTGCAAATCATCCTGATCTTCAGCTTTATAAAAGTAATCTCAAACGATTTCAAAAGACATGTTAAATATTTCTTCTCAAAGAAATAAAATGTTTATAGAAAAATACATTTTTATATTATTATAAAATATCTGTATGAGTGCAGAAAATCTGTCTTATTTAATAATATAAATAAATAAAATGTTTGACATTAAAAACAATAGAAAATATTAAGAAAACAAAAATTCATTTTTTAACAAACAGCAAACATGTAAATATAAATCTTGATTGCATAATTCAGAAAAACAAAAAAAAACAAATTATAATCAATAGTTAAATTTATCTTAAGTTATAAGTAATTTTAATTGTTAATTATTGAATAACTTATTAGAAGAAATTCATATTTTGAATTGTATTAAATGACTCATAAGATTTTCTGTCATCAAAATAAAAAAATCAATATTGAAATATGATATTTAAATCTATCTTAATCAATGTTTTACCAGCAAAATCATGAATTTTTACTTTATTATGTCAACACGAACTTTGAAACAAAATTATTCTTCAATGTATATTTCTATTAGTTTATTGCATCAATATTAATTATACCGTATCTAAAATACATTTTCACAAAAATAATATGAATAATCAATCAACAAGTCATTTTCTGTCATATCTTTAAGGCACACATGTTCATACAATGTACATTGAAGTCTTCTCGTTTATTTCAACTGTATATTTATTTTATAGAATTATTTATTGTTAAAAAAGAAAAGTTGAAATAGGTAAGTGTTTATATGGAAAATGCCAAGACTATTGTGGGAAAATTCACAGTTATGTCATGAAAGAAAAACAAGGAAACAATCATCGGTAAAAACCTATGTATAAAGAACGGAACGAAAATAATTTATTTGGGATCCCGAAAGATGCGCACGGCGAAACTTGCGCACGGAGACTCTGAGGGCTCTGGCTGAGGTTGTGAAGTGCGGATGATGGTGCGGATGTAAGTGAGGGTGAGGGCGAAGATGATGGTGAAGGCAATGAACTTGAAACGGTTCGTTCTGCTTTGAAACTCTCATTTTCCGTTCCGTGCGCAACTTTCGTCGTGCGCATCATTCGTAGACCCAATTTATTTATATCAAACATACAATCTCGATAAAATAGTAGAACGAAAGAGAAAAGATAGAGATAAAATTCTAGTATTGCTGCAATACAATTTTTCAAGTTAATCTATGTTGTATATAAATTGAAATAACATTTCGTAAATCTACATTATTTCTATTTCATAAGTAAGGCGAAAAAACTGCGCATTGTCATTCGTTTTTTTCCCCCCATAAATGACATGTAAAATAATTTAATAAAATTATTAATCGAAGCGTTCATAATTTTATACTAAACTAACTATGATGTCAAACGAAAAAAAATAAATGAAAAAATAAATTCTTTTCGACATCATAGTTAGTTGATATTTTTTTATCTGATACAAAATCTAAAACGTCTTGTTTTTGTCTCTCGAACAGTAATAGTATTACGTTAAAAAAAGCCATACTAGCCTATATCAGTATATGAAATGATTTCGTAAAAAAAAAAACAGATTTTTTTATTATATGGAACAATTTTTTTTTCGACAAATCATTTTATAACTGTACATTATTTACAAAAATAAAAAGGACTCTTATTTTATAGATTAATAAATTCGCTATACGTTCATGGCAAGAATAATTAAAACAATGAATACTTCAAATCATTGACCACCGTTACTATCATATCCTGACGATTCAAAAAGCCTTTCTAATCTGGTAGAATATAATAAAAACAGAATAAATACTTATCTAAGTTCGACATTTGTTTCATTTAGATTCTGGATAATTTCAATAACAATGATGAATTAACTATGAATGATGATATATTGAATATGTTAACTGATGGTAAGTTAATTTTCTATACATAGACCCAATACTTAATAATAGTGTCACTTGTATTATAGTTCATATTGATTATAAGAAGAATTAATTATACATCAGTTTCAGTTATCTAACTACTAGTCTACTATTCATAGATTGAGTCCAATAGCTAATTAGTTGTCATACAACAAGGATCACGGAAGATTAGTAGAAGAACACTGACTGAATGTATACTCAGTCTGATAGGGTATTCTGTCAGTGATATTCAAAGCTAGTAAATACTGAAGAGGGATTTTATTATTGCGCCATTCATATTTACACAATGTCATACATATGTTGTGAGGGTGAAAACACTGCAGATAGGTAACATTTTATTTGATCTATGAGTCAGAACAAAGAAAAAACCCTTGTTGTTTTCGTCTGACGTCTATGGGAACAAAACCACTCATTTTACTATTATTTAAAACTGCGAAAAATGTACATTTACAATAGAAAGTGTCATAGATCAAATATGAAATAGATTATTTTCTTTCAAAATACATCAATGGCGTTGTTTCTATTTTTAGAACTACTTAAAGATTTACCAGAAGCGACACAATTTACTGATATTATATCACAATATAATTGTCATACTGACCTAATAAAAGAACAACATTCACAAAAACTGATGTCAATTCATTTACAATCAAGTAATTAGATATACTTGTTTTTTTTAATCTTATTTGATATCTCATATTCTTATTTCATTATTTATTGATTAGATACGTTTATATCTTCTCCTAATTTTATACAAACTGACAATTCATTAACTAAACCAATAACTATTAATGGTAAGTGCTACTATAAAAATTCTTTTTTTTTTAAATTACATGTTTTCATATTATTTATTTCAGATGCAATTCTTCTACAATCTATTTCACAAGGTTATAATCAATGTTCTAATACATCATTGATGTCAGCCAAAGTAAAAGGTATGCTAATTGTACTATTTTGGCAAGTAAAAACAAAATAAATTTCCTAATTATTTTTTTAGTTCATCCTCAACAATCAACAACTGTAACTCCAATTAATTATACGTTAGGTATACTTAGATTCTAAAATAAATTATGATAGAAGTTAAGAACTATATATCTTTTTCTAGAAACAAATGCTTCTATACAATGTAATACTTCACAAATACATAATAATTTAGTATATCAAAAAGAATGTATGACTTGTTTTTTTTTTCTTATTATTTAGTTTAATATTTTTTTATTTTAGTTCTTCAAAATGATATTACTAAATCAAAACCAATTGAAATAAAATGTCAACCACGTTCAAAATTTCGTCCACGAACACAAAATGAAAGTAAAACATCATCACATTATTTACGATGTGAAGATCATGATGAATTAGAATATCCTGCAATATATGTAAGATGTTGATTAATCATATTATTCAAATATATTAAAACAAATTTTTCTTGTATTTTAGGTACCTCAAATATGGTCTAGTCAATCCAAAGTCAATATTATTGAAGTTGCTCTTATGGATATTCAAAAACAACCACATCCATATACTATTGATAATAAAACTAGTAATAATTCATTCGAAGATCAAGCATTAATTTTCAAAGAAAATAAATCTAATATATTATATTTTCGTTTAACCAATAAAGATTTTCTAAATGGTTACAAAATGTAAATTTAACTAAATATAGATCTTATTTTTTTTCCTAGAAAAAACTTTTAATTTTAATATTTTTTTTTTGTTTTTAATAGGTTTATGATTGAATTAATTAAAAGTAAACAAAATAATGTTATTACAAAACAATTAATTCGATCACGAAAACTTGATCAATCTATGCTTTGTTTTACACGAATTTATCAAGATGAATATGGTAACTATCAACGTGATGTTAACAGTGCAGTATATTCTACTATAATGACAGAAAGTAAGAATGAATTGTTTTTTTTTCTTCTTCTTAGCAAAAGAAATTCAATGTAAATATGTTTTGTTTTTATAGGTTATGGTGATGTTGCTGTTGAATATGTAGGACCACGATATGGTCCAATGAGTGGACAATCAATGATATTTATTGTTCTTAAAGGACGTTTTATTAAAAATGATTTATCTATTATTATTTTTGAAAAAACAACAAAATGGTCTCAGAAAATAAAAAATTTTATCTTAAATGGTAATGTTATTTATTTTCCAATACCTGCATTTCCATATCCACGTATGAATAATATAAAAGCAAATATTAATATGTATTATAAAAATCAACAATTTCATGAATCAACATATTTATATATGAATTCTTTAGATCGTATGTTTATCTTGTTTTTATGACAATAGAATATTTACCTATATTTTGTTTTGTTCCTTTTCTCTAGAACTCATTAATGTTGATTTGAATGATTCAATTTCAGATACTCAAATTTTTATGAGCGATATGAAATTTAATTATGATACGGTCAACAATTTATATTCTACGCCATTGACTTCTCAAAGTATCAAGAGAAGAAAACCTAGAAAACGTTTAAATAGTACATCAATTAGCTAGAAGAATATATGAATAGATATGCACTAGGAATGTTCCATGTTTTAGACAGATATAGAAAATGTATATTTTGTTTTGTGTTTACTAGCGTCTTTCATTTTCAGTTTGAACATTCAACAGAACTTTAAAAAAAAAAGAAATTCTTTTTTGTTTTCTTTTTTAGTTTTGATTGTTATGTTTATTTTTTTAATATAAACAATGAAAAGATATCATGAATATATCAATTCTTCTAATCAATGTTTTACCAAGCTTGAAGATTGAGGAAGCAGTATCCCTCTCAAGGTCGAGTTGACCCTCCTGTAGATTGTAGATATTCTACTACATATTAGTTCGTAAAAAATGGTGTCATGAATAACTACTTCTATAGAAAATACTAGTGCTCTCGTTATAGTTTCAGAGTAGAAGAATATTTCTACAAATATTAAATGTGTTCTGTTTTTGTAAATTTCAAGACACAGAGCATCAAATGCTTCTTACTTTGGATTTGCATGCTCTTTAAAAATCTGTCTATCTGTCGGATATGAAAAGCTAAGATTTCAATGGTACGTTGGTTGTCCATATCTTCATCATCGTTTACAATCTTATAATTGTGCATTATACTGACACTGAACGATCAAAATGAGTTCAATAAGTCTTTCAAAGTATTTATATGCGCTGCGTTGCTATCGAGAGCATCTATTATCTATGTTTTGTGTCCACGAAACAAACAACAGCATGGTTTTCTATTATACGCAAGTTGTTAAACACATGTATGAAGTGTTTTTAAGTATGATAGTGATAGTTTCTGTCAAAAATTTGTCTGAAAGAGGATATATTAGTAATGATCTGACATATTTGCAAATGCTTGAGATGTATTCATCGTCCAGACATTGAAAGTTCAAAGAAATTAAGTAGCATTCAGTGTTTGGAGCATCTATATTACGACTGTATGAATCAATATTTGTAATCTTGTCAATTAAGTTTTGTGTGACCGTGTTTCAATTGTCTTCATTGTAAAATGCCTCGATTGCGTCGAAAACAAAAGAATTCAACAGAATCAAATGGAATTTACTATTTAAAGCTCATGAATTCTGATCGTATGGTTCAGTCTTTGTAATTCCTTCAGTTTGAATGTATGTACCAGTGTTCCAACAAAGATGGTATTAGTTCAGTTCAATTTGAATTTTGGAAAAACCTAACCCAATCGCATCTCTGGTTCTGTGTCATCTTCATTGAAGAGTACCTTGAATTTTCAATGTCTCAATGGCGAGTACTATTGGTATCAAAATCATCAGTAGTTTATAATCCATCGATTTATATATGATTCAGTTAATTTCAATAATGAACACCAAAAAGGGCGAAAATATATTCTTATGAGCTCCAGTCTTTTCACTATGATGTTAATATATTTGACGTCACAATAGTCATCGTGTGTTTTTTTAATATGAAAAAAAAAACACCTTCCATCGCAATAGTCCTCTACGGTTTTTTTGCTAGATATATGAAAGAACAGAACGCAAAAAAAAACAGAAAAAAAATTTGTCCTTACATGAATCATTGTAATACTCGCTTGACCTAGATACTGATGACCAACTAAAATTTTTCGATAGCAATATTGATAGATATACGGATCAAAGCTCAAAGAGAAAAATTGTACGTCTTATCAAACAAAGCATATGTTAAGAATTTTTGAAAAAAATCTTCATTTATAGCTATTTGAAATAATAAAACTTATCAACTAATATATTACTTCCGTTACACTTTATCTCTATGATAAAGGTTTTTGCCATAAAACAAGATTCACGTGATCTATATTTGAGTTTATTCATCAAACATAATATAAGAGGTTTCTATGACCAAAAAAAGAAACAAAAACATTGATTCTATTTGTCAGTGAGCAATGATTGACGTGTTACTCATGAATCATCCTGCGTCATGCGCTTACGACTGCTTAGAAATTGCACAACTTCAGACAATAGCTATATAAAGCTGATTTTGCTTCGTAGCTAGTTCATATTTCATACAGCAGGTAATTTTTTCTTGCACAAACTGAATATTGAGTTGAAGTTGTGCAATAATATTATACTGACTCATATTGTCACATCGTTAATCCATTTTGTTTTGAAATACTTCTACAATCAATCGTTGAACAGAAAACAAACACTGAATAATGTTATCAACTGCTCGTCAACATCTTTCACAACGATTACTTAAATCAATAACCATCTCAACTTCAAAATCTAGTTCATTTTCTATATCTACACCCTCTTCATCATTTACATGGCAAAATCCAACTGAGGATGATCAAAAACATTATGCAGTTGAGGATGTTTTTCGTGCAGGAATGAGACATCATCATATATGTAATACAGCATTTCCAATAGCTCATAACACTACTATTCGACCATATCGAGTAAAAAGACTTCGAGATCAACAAGATATTCGATCAACTTATTATGGAGCTTATGGTTCATTATCAGAGATGATGCTTTATGCTCATGTACCTTTTTGTCAAACACGTTGTCAATTTTGTGAATATACAGTTGTTAATCCAAAACAAGGTAAAAATATTGATATACAAACAAATTATTTTTCTGCACTCTATAATGAATTGGATATGTATGCAAATTTATTAAATACAAAAGAAAAAAACTTAATTGGATTTGATATTGGTGGTGGAACACCATCAATGGCTAAAATAGAACATATTCAACAATTAATGGAACATGTTGAATCAAAATTTAAAACAGATTGGAATACAACAGAAGTATCAATTGAAACAACACCAAAAATAGCTGCAGCTGAACCAGATAAAATTAAAGCATATTATGAGATGGGTATTCGTCGTATATCTATGGGTTTACAAACAACAGATTTTCGTCAAGCTAAAGAAATGAATCGTGATGATGCAAATGCATCAACAGATTATATATATAAATCCGTAACTAATATTCGTAATGCAGGTTTTAAAAGTTTTAATATTGATTTAATGTATGGATTTCCAATACGTGCAACACGTACAGATGATCCATGGTTAAAAACTGTTCAAGATACAATTGATCTTCAACCTGAACATATAACTTTATATCGTATGAGATATAAAGGTACATTAATGGCACATTTAGCTGATCGTGTTAAACTTGATCAAATTAATCGTCAAGAAAGTCAAGCTAGAAAATTATTAAATGAATCTGGTTATATTGGTTTAACAGGAAAAAATACATTTTCTCGTGTTCAAGGTAATTCCGGATGTTCGGCTTATTTGGATAAACGTGTTCGAAAAGCTATACCATACATTGGTATTGGTCTTGGTGCTCAATCATTTAGTCATCATACATTATCATATAATTTAGGTGCTGTAACAAAAAAATTACAACAATATATTCGTAGTGTTGAATTAAATCGTATACCAGTTCAAGATCTTTATCATTTATCACGAGAAGCAGCTATTGCTAAAATGGCATCAGTTAGTTTTTATTATGGTGGTATTGATCTTATAGCATTTAAAGATTGTTTTAAAATATCATTAGATGAATTATTTCCAAATGAATTTAAATTTGTTGTTGATCATGGTTTAATGATACATGATAAAGAAGAAGAACGTTTACAAATGACAGGTCTTGGTAAACAATGTTTTGGTGGTGTTGTAGCTTTATTTTATTCTCCAGCAGTTAAAAATCATATTTTAAATCTTCAAGGTGGAGAACAATTTTTAGTTGATCCTGTTAAAGCATTGAAAGAAAATCAAAGTCCTTTTCAACCTATTCCTGATACGACAATACCAATTCGTCGTCGAACAGTAGTATCAAATTCATCTCAATCGATATCATCCGTGCCATTAACAACTTCAATACTTGCCTCACAACAAAATCAACAATCGATTAATCAAATTCGTCGTTCATTTTCAACATTAGCACATATAAATACATCTGAACCATTTGAATTTGGAAATATTTTGTTTTCTGGACCATGTAATCAAAAATGTCCATTTTGTATTGGTCATCAATTATTAAAAACTCCAAATAATTTACGTCAAGAAACACTTAAAAATCTTGATGAATTTATTTCTTTAATAAAACAATCTAAAACATCAAAAATTATTTTAACTGGTACAAGAACAGATCCTCAACTTTATAAATATGAAGAAAAATTAATAAATCGTTTACGTCATGATATACCAAATATTCATATATCATTACATACAAATGGTTTATTAGCTATACCAAAAATGAAAACATTTCGTATGTATGATTCATCTACTATATCAATAAATTCTTTTCATCCTCAAACTTATTATAAACTTCATGGTGTTAAACAAATGCCTAATTTAAAAAATATTTTAAAAGAAGCAACTAATGTTCCAATTAAACTTTCATGTATATTAACTGAAGATAATATTCATCAAGTTGAAGAATATTTACAAACTGCTAAACATCTTGGAATTAAACGTATTGCATTACGACATATTTATGATGATGAACGTCGTTGGCCTATACCAGCTTTTCAAAATAAACAACCAATTAAATATCATCAAAATAATCCAGTTTATGATTTTGATGGTCTTCAAGTGACACATTGGATATTTGATAAAACATCTGGTCGATCTTTAAATTTATTTTCTGATGGTACACTTAGTGATGAATATCTTCTAACAAAAGCTCCAAATCAATCAGTATAGATTAATATATAAAACTTTGAAAATTAACTTCGTTTCTATAAATGATAGTATTTTATGCTCAGAAACTTATTTAATAAACCAGTCATTGTAGACATATATATATATATATGCACGTGTGTTCGAAATGGTGGTATATAGAAACGTACATTTGTAGTAATTAAAATATACAGATTATTCTAGTGTGACTGTATTGAAGTAGTTTCTTTTTGTCTATACAACATTAATTATTTGTCAATGTTTTTCTATTTATCCGGCTTATTTTAATGAATGCAGAAAACAAAACAAAAAAATTGGAACTTGTTGTGAACTTTTGATTATCAGGTTACAAGAATCGATGTTCATTCAATTCGTGGATGAATATTTTGTTCATTTTCTTCGATAGAAAGAAGATTCTCCTGTTTCAGTAGTTGAAGTTTTTTCACCTAATACAAGTGAACTATTTCCGTTTAAAGCAAGTTGAAAATGTATGGAGAAAAATTCATAAAAAAATGAATTAAATCTGATACAAATATTTCATTTGAGTTCAAATCTTCCTGTTTTTCAAGATAGTGCTTAAGTACGTGATTCAACTACTTCTTTTTTTTTTTAAATCCATTTGTCAAAGGTCGACTAAAACTTATAGAACTTGATTTAGTTAAAAATAAAACGAAACAAATTATACTTTTTAATTTGTAAGTTGCTCCGCAAATTTCATATTTAAATAATATTTGTTTTTCATTTGATGAAAAATTTGTGCATATTACTAACTCGAGTGTAACATGACCTATTGTAGTTGTTAATTTGTAGAAAGAAAAAGCAAAAGATAAATATTTCATGAATATTGGTGTATTCAAATAGATAAAGAAAAAAAAGTCTGAGAAGTTTCGACTATACGAGATAGAAAAATCAAAATTTGGTATAGAATTGAAGAAAACATGTACCCAAATTACTTTGTTTGTAAAAAAGTTTTAGATTTGGTCGTATATTTCGTTTTTATTTGTTATTTAATAAAAGAAGTAAAATATAATGGAAAATCCTATTGCTAAGTTGATGGTCGTGATATAAATTTCTCTTCAAATGGAATCGCTCTTTCTATCGATGGTGTAAATCTTTATTGACAAGCAATACAAGGCTAAAGTCTCTATTCTATTTCTACTTCTTTTCTTCATTTATCTGATTTGACCAGAAGATTTTCTTCTAAAATCAATAAAATCAAAGAAAATAATCTAATCTTGTTTATGTGTCTTCAATACAAAAGGATTCAATTAAAATGAAAGATTTATTAACTATCTCTTAATGGCTCATACATTTAAGATTCTGTCAAATTTAATGAAGAAGTACATATTAAATTACGTATTGAACTATGGCGATTGACATTCAATGCATCTATAGATACGATCGTTATGTCATTAAGATGAAAATAAAAAAAAACTTTGATAAAGGAAATTTTTCTTAAAAATCTTTGTTTACATATTCAAACTGAATTTAATTACAAAATATAGGTAGATAACGAAAATCTTCAAAAACTTTGTGGATATAAACTTCTGTGGGTAGCTGCCACTACTAATTCGTATTTATACTATATATCTCTTCAACAATTCACGTGCATGAATTCGTGTTCAAGCATGTACAAAAATGAACACAAACGAAATACTTTATAGTAAACATGATGAATTACACAGCTTTGAATGTACACATAATTCATACATGCATTTAAATGCTTGTCTATGGAAAGAAAGTCATGTGATATGGACACATCTTGAAATCTCTACATGTCAGACATATGAAAAAGAAAAGTTCTGCTAGATACAGTTTATTTACTTAGAGACTATAAATTATTACAAAATCTAATTGTTTTCTTTTTAAATAGCTCATGTTAAGAATAAACAATATGGTCTAATCTCATACTATACATTAATACCAGCTTTTCATTCATAAAATTAGCATATTCAAACAATTTTTCTATTTGAATATAAATATGATATTCTTCTTAATATCATTATCAATAAAAAAATAACTTGTTGATATATATTACTATTAAAATCAATATATGTTAGCAAAAAAAGTAAACAATTAGTTGTGCTGTTTCAGATAATGATTCAACTAAATTTTCATCTATTCTAAAATCAACAAAGTAACATAATTTATAATTAATTTCAACGATTGTTCGAATCATTAACAAAATATTTCAAGAAACTTTCTACCATCTGTTTCAATCTGAAGAAATATGAATGACAACTTCCAAAATAAAGAAATCTATCAAATAAAAACAACTCCAGATGGTTCCTAAATATAATCTTTCCTATCATTTATAAAACATTATTTTTCTTTTAATATTTATTATATATTTCAGTTTTTCTTATTTACATGTATATTTAAGATATATTTTTCACTTATTTGAATATATGCAACCATGATATTTGTCCAAATGTAGCTGACAGAAATAAAATAAAAAAAATAATTTTTTTCTTGATAGAATAATTTAAATATGATGAAGTTTATTTATAAACTTTAATCTTTCGCGCAAGCAAGATTAATAATGAAAAGTTTAACGAAATAAAAAAGAAAGAGTTTTTTTTTTTTTTTAACATTTTGACGATAGTTTTGTTTTTCTTTGATTAATTAACCAACTTTAGGTTCTTCAACAACAACATCATTATCATCAACAAATAAAATAACACGTGATTCATCATGTTCCGTTGTTGATGATGTACCTTTTTTTAAGATCTTTACATTCGAATAACCTTAAGCAACAAAAAAAAAAAAAAGAACAGATAAATAAAAAACAAAATTCTTTTTGATTTATACCTTTTGCTTTAATAAATTCTTGTGCTTCATGACGTGTTTTACCTTTTAAATCTGGCCATGCTGTTGCTAATACTTTTGCATCACTCTACAACAACAACAACAATAATAATAATAAAAATTCATTTAGTGAATAAAAAATCTTGTTTATTTTTATTTTTGTAATAAAATCGAATTATACTTCTTGTGGTTTATCTTCATAAGCACGAGATGATGTTTTTATATCGCTTTTTTGAATATTTGTATCTTGTTCTTGTTCAAACTTCTTTTGTTTACTATCAATATTTTTATCTTCATCATCATTTTTTGTTTCATTTGTTTTATCAATCTAAGTAGAAATATTAAAAAATAAAAACTAATAACGTCTTAAAAATCGAATAAACAACATACATCATCCGTTGTTGTTTCACTACTATAAAAAACTTCAGCTACACTATGTGCAGCTTGTTGTACTAAATTTCCTGCTTGATTTAAAGCATTTTTAATTGGTTCCATCCTAATTTTCTTTTGAAATCTGCAATAAAGTCAATTTTATTCTATTATAATCAAATATATTTTCTAAATTCAATAGATTTATTATACAAAAGTGAAAGACACACACACACATACACATTTACAATGATTTATCTTTCCTGACAATAAATATTCCTGAGAGAGGTTTTTGTTTTTTTTCAAAAAAAAATCTAATCTAATATCGTTGATATTTCATCAATGGATGTGTATGCCATGTCCATTTAGCTTTTTGAACAAGAATATCATTACGAAGATTTTGTGCAAAACAAATGCTAAGAATCTATAAATATAATAAAATATAAAAATCATATAATTCATTTTTAATTACTTGTAATACAGCAAGAATAACAATAACTATAGCTACATATAAAATATGTTTTTCAAACCATTTTGATGCTTTTGGTAAACATCCTTCTGTATAAATCATATGTATTCCCTAAGAAAGAAAATTTCTTTTTTTTTTTTTTTTTTTTTATTACAAAAAACTTACTGCTGTTGATTCTAATATTCCATATCCACATTGTTTATTATTCTGAATAGGATAAAAAAAAAAGAAAATTTTTATTCTTTGTGTTTTTTTTTCTTTTTCTTACATGAAAATATTCTGTACGACAACAACTAGCTGGTACACCACATGCTTCAATACTTCCAAGAGATTTAGATGAACAATTAAAATAAATATTATTTTCCCAATTTCGATAATTATTTATACCACAACAATGAAGCCAATGACGTTGAATCCAATCAATCATATTTTGTAAATCTGGATCATCACGATAACTTTGAATCATAATCATTAATTGTTTTTCTCCTTCATTTTTAACCTATTAAAATAATAATTTATTTAAATATAAAAAAAAACAAAAATAATTAATATAAAAACCTTTTCTCGATAAATAAATACTAATGTACCAAAAGCAAGTTGTGCAAAAAAGATAATTGCTAATGCAAAACTAAACTATAAAACAAAAGATTTCATTCTTCTTTTTGCTTCTCTTTCAAAATTATTTACATACAAAAAGTAATAAACAAGTATTTTCTCTTAATGATCCAATACAACCAGCAAAACCAATAAAGAACATTAAAATTCCAACAAGAACAAAAAGTAATGCTGGATCACAAAATAATGTTCCACCCAATGTTAAACGACCAAAATTATTAAATGTATCTTTTTCAATCCAAGCATAGATACCAATAATAGCAATTAGCAAACCAAGAATCTATGAAGAAAATAAAAACAAACAAATTTAACAAATATTCGATTAAAATATATACCCAGAAAAGAATATTAAAACCAAACATAAGATATCTAAACAAAAGAAGAAGAAAAAACAGAGAATATTGTTATGTTGTTTTTTTTTATAATATCTTACTTAATAAATGGACTAATCTCAGATTCATCTCGTCGTGTTTTACGTACGAATCGATGAAAACGAGGTGCCATAGGAAATAATGTATCTGAGTCGCCAGTAGTTGCTAAACTTGTTAATCGTCTCGATGAGTGAATACGAGCTGTCGGATGACATCTTTGTATTTCATCTGTAATTATATTTTTAACCTCTTATTGAACTAATCTATGACAAGAAAAATATTATTCGACATTCAATTCAATTCTACTGATATATACGTCTTCCAATGATTTCTATGCTATTTTATATCATAATATAGATGTCATTAGTTAATTGTATGAATAAAATATTTCAGTTTATTAAGTTAAACTTTCCACTATAGTTCGAACAATCAAAAGTATGAGTAAAA